TATCCATTCCTAAGGAAAAATACAAATGGGTGTGCATGACCCTTGCTTGGCTCACCTTCTGGAGCTGGTTAGAGGATTATCTCCATCTGCCTTAGCCTCCAACTATGGCTTTGGTAGACATGGAGGCTCTGCCCTAATCTCAAAACAAAGTAGTTTCTGCTCCCATTGTGTCTCCTGATTTTTCACTTGTGAAACTAACTTCCAATTGCTATACAAAGTGGAATGGACTTCATGATTTAGAAATACATATTCTACTAGAATTAGGAATTTTCTCTGCGATGAATGTGCCGACAATTAAGTAGAGCTTTGTGTTATATTATGGCAAGCCTTACTTGGTCCATTGACTCATGAAAATGTCTTTTTCAAGATATATGATGCAGGGTTTTATTTCTGATAAAACTCTAAAGTCCTTTTCCCAATGTCTAGAACCTATCCATTCTAAAGTGGTTTCTTGAATCCTGATTGAAATAAAATTTGAACTGTATATTCATAGATAGAGAAACAATACAGCTCTTTTAATCTTGCAAATAAATATCCACATTCATATATCTATATATAGACGTGAGAATGTGCACATATATGTACATGGCATACACTATATGTAAGGGGAGTTTAAACATTTTGTGAAAAAGTGGAATTAAAGTATCAATTCATTTTGATGCAAAAATCTTAGAAAGCCATGTATAGTTTTCTTATTATGTGCATTATCCATAAAGTTTTTGAAGACTTGTCATATACGTGTATGTGCATGTGTGTGTGTGTGTGTGTGTGTGTGTGTGTGTATGTGTATTCATACATTGTCAATATTCAAATTCAGGATTATTTTCAATATTAGAAAAATTCCAGAATGTCTTTCCATTGTTTTCTGGAAAGTTTCCGGACTACTTTGTCTGGACTACTGTTCCCTTTCTATGCATGACTGTCTACTACTATCGATATAAACTCGGTGAATACAAATTCTTTTATTACTAGCCAAATAAAAAAACATAATTAGGAAAGTTAAAAAATGTATAATTCATTCCAAAAACAAAAGAGAAAGGACCTTCAGTGATTTTCTGCTTGCATTGTAAGTCCTCCTGTTTCTCCTCCATTAGAGTGGATAATTGTTATTTAACCAGACTCACGAATACTTTAACAGCCTTCTCAGTATAGATAAAGTATGGATAGAATTTATAATCTGAATATCAGTGCTTTTAAAAATAAAATATTTACCCAGGTATTTAAGTGTTATTTATACAGAGTGAGTGGTTATGTGCAAAGCCGAATTACAAGGTGTATTCTAAAGGGATGGAAACTGTTTCTCATTGGCTTCTATTGCATAGTTCTTAGAAAGCTATAAATCAATATCTCTCCCACTTTACTCACCTGCCCCCCCTCATACAAAATCATAAAAGTTTCTAGTATTTACAGCTACTGTTGGGTAATGTGGCTCACATTCATTGCTTTTTCCCACCTACCCAGGGGGCTGTATTTCAATGGTAGGTGCGTGATCCCTATGTGCACAGTCTGTAAAGCTGTTTGGTCTCCTTGTGGATGAAACATGCTATATAATAATATAATATATTGTCATTATTATAGCATTACACTGAAGATCACTGCCCTAAGAGAAGAGAAAGAGGTAACAGGACATCTGCACCCAAATGACATACACATACATGTGCACACAACTCTCTTCTGCATCTCCCTCTTAGAACTAAAGAGTTGGAAAGATTCCCTGGAAAACAAACTTTGCCAGGTTCTACCAGGCTTTAGAAGCTGGCCAGTCCTCAACTAGTTGACAAATTCTCTTTGTCTATTCTAGATCCTTCCCTCAGAAGCCCAAACCTTTGTCCTGGCTGACTATATCACTCAGCCTTTTTAGTGCTTAATGATTCTTAACCAGCCATGTAAGTTACTGACTTTTTCTGCCTCCCCTATCCTGCCCAGGTCGTTGGCACTGAATGGGGAGAAAACACGCCTTCCATTTAAGGAGCACAGCCAGAAAAGGAGAAAGATAAAAGGCTGAAGTTGATACACAACTCAAAAGCAAACAGGAGGGAAAACAGCGCTTTTCTTAGAAGGCCAAATAAAACAGCAGTGAAGGAAACTGAAATGAGTTGGCCTGTGAAATGGGGCCAGAGAAGCAACTTGGGCACAAAACAAGCTGCATGGTGGGGAGTAATAGAAGAGCAAGCATGTCTGGGCAGCTTACGAGTTCTCAATGGCAAAGTAAGAACTTGTGCATATGGGAGCCAGTAGGGGAGGGGTGGGGAAAACGCCACCCAGTCCTAATAAACTAATCCCAGCTAATGTAATGTTTATCAAGTTCCTTGGATAATGATACCATGTGTGTCATTATCATCATCAAAACCCAATCTATGTTTTAAAAAGTTACAGATGATTAACACAACATCAAGTTGATGCAAACAATTACTTAAAACCCACACACAGACACACACACACACACACACACACACACATACACACAGAACCAGGAGGTCCCAATATTCTGTAGAATGAGGGAGGCTGCAGCTGGAGGCCGACAGCTTTCATATCCTCATTTGAATAATGTGTCCTGAATCTGTCACTTTATTCATTCTCCTTATGCTCAGTGTACTCTACATCAACAACAAATTAAGTTGTAAATAAGAGACAATCATCACTTTTGTTTTTAAGCAGCTACTGCTTAGAGAATTTCAATGTACGCTCCTTTTCGACAGGGGGGAAAAGAGGTGCTAGAGTTTGCTTTCAGAAGCACAAATATGGGGGAATCAACAGAAACAAAAACAGAAACAGTTTACTGTTGCAGGGGGGAGGGAAGAAAACATTCTCTAAAGCACATCCATCCATTACCAGTCTAAATTTCGTCCAGGAAGCTACGAAAATATATAAAGCAGCTAAGTTTCTTGGACTGTGCTGGGAACCCATGTGACTTATCTGTACCAGTCCTTCGGTCTTAGTATGCAAGTGGTATCTTTGCTCAGCACACCTTTAGACAAAAGGACAAGTGCATTAAATCACTTACACACAGGTGGATTAATAAACACATCTCACATTCATCTCCACTAATTTACAAGAGTTCAAATTCTTGCCACCTGCATAGAAAATGAAAAAAGGAATAATAAAAAAAAATCCCTACCTTTACATCGGAGAAGTAGGTCTTCAGCATATTGGAGCTGGGATAACGGGTGTAAAAGAACATGAGCTTTGCTTTTTTCAAGTGATTGGGTGACAATCCTTCCTGCATGTAGGAGGCAATGGTTAAGGAAAAATTTCTGTAAACACAAGGCCCTATTATTGCTGTCCCCCTAACAATCACCACCACCCAGAAAGTCTAGAGGCCCACCCAGCGGCCATGGGAATGCTGGAAGGTAGATGACTCTGGCTACAGATCCATGGCTAACCTGCTGCCATTTGCGCTAAATGACCGTGGCCTTTCAGAAATTGCCAAATGTAATGATGAGGGTGCACAGTCTAGTTGAGAGTCTTTGCTACTTTGTGGTAAGGATGGTAAAACATTCTCCCTGCCTTAGATCCATATATGCTATCTATATGTTCACTTGTTGCTAAGGAAACAAATGCATCCAACATGCACTGTACAACTCTTATCTAAAGAGTTTTTATTTTTTTTCTTCTTGGAGATTACAGTTCTGTTTGGTCTTCTCTCCACACTCTGCAGTTTACAACAAATTACTCTACTGACATACGTGAAAATATAAAATGCATTATTTTGAACACTGTTATTCAAGCCCCGTGAGTGTTAATCTAATGGAGCTTCTTGACTCACTTTCTTTCTATCTGATTATTATATTCTTTTAATTGTTTCCTGTTAAATAACAGCTAGAACTTGGGAGGGGTGGTCCTGGCACAGAGAGAGCTGGGGGGGGGGTCGCTTTTGTTAAAGTAACGGTCCAAAACCAAATATGATTTGCCTGTCCTGGATTTACAGTTAACTCCTTGGAGAGTGACACAGTAGTTGGGGCTATCAAATCAATAAATGTGGGTTAGCAGATCAATAAATGGCCACTTACCCAAAATAAGAAGGCCTATTTATCAGGAAACATCATTACCTTTTAGATCTGTAAACAGCAGCAACTAAAACAGTTCCCAAGAGAATGTGAGGCTAACCATAACAATCCAGGCTTCCTGATTCTCCCCCAGATTCTTGGCACTACTCAGCAGACACAGGGCTGGGATGGCTCTGGTCACATCTGTGCCGCAGCCTGGCCCTGCCATTTCCTCAGCAAATTAATGGCTTTATAATTTATCAGAAATGAAGATGCACGTGGAGAAAATCAATGTGGTCCCCCACAAGGTCAATTAAGGGTCCTTCCTGGAAGCTTCTCTAAGGATTTTCTCTTAAAAGAGAATCTGGGAAAAATAAGGGGGGAAAAAGGAAAAAAAAAAATGTGCACGTGTGCTCAAAAATACACTCTCACTCACACATATACATAAGACACTCCCACACACCCTTAACTATGGAACACAAATTTCACACTTTATGGAGTAAGGTCACATAAACGCAGGTACTTAGGAATGGTAGAGGTTTCCAAATGACCTCCATCAAATACATCATGACTAATCCTAAGAATGAAGGGAAACCAGAAACTTACTAGAGAAACATAATCAAATTAATATTGATAAGCTTTTGATTACTTATTACAGGGTGTTTAACCAAATATTCTGCTGAGAATTTGTTCAGTTAACATTTCCTTTAAGATCAAAAGCCACTAAAAGAAAAAAAAAAAAAAGAAGGAAAAAGATCACCTGGTTTCTAAATCGAAAATTTAAATATTTTGAGTGTGTGTGTGTGTGTGTGTGTGTGTGTGCATGCACTTCCTGAAAATAAACACCGAAGAAAGAAATTTTGATTTTATATTTGTAAAGCCAAAGCTGCTTAACCGAATTTGTGTTTTTGTTTGAGATCCTCAATGATTACAAAGACGGTAATTTATGACTGACATACTTCTTGTGCCAAGGAAAGAGCTGAAAGGCCCTCCAGTAACCTCCATTAGACTGATAGGGAAGACTAAAGGAGCCCAGCACACTTCAACTAAATCGAAAATTTAAATATTGTGAGTGTGTGTGTGTGTGTGCATGCACTTCCTGAAAATAAACACCGAAGAAAGAAATTTTGATTTTATATTTGTAAAGCCAAAGCTGCTTAACCGAATTTGTGTTTTTGTTTGAGATCCTCAATGATTACAAAGACGGTAATTTATGACTGACATACTTCTTGTGCCAAGGAAAGAGCTGAAAGGCCCTCCAGTAACCTCCATTAGACTGATAGGGAAGACTAAAGGAGCCCAGCACACTTCAAGACCATCTGTCCAAATGGATAAGTGAAATAATAGTTGCAAGCTGTCTCCTATTGCCTCGTGATAAGAGTTTTAGGCAGGTCTAAACTTCGACAACATTCTCAGATCTGAGTTCTAATCTTTTCTTTCAGACGGCTCCATGAAAACAACCTGGTACATTTAATTATAAGTCCCAACTCATTTAACATTTGGTCTCATACAAAATACAAATGGTTTGACTGTCAAACAACTGAAAGCTTTCGGTAGGCATAGAACTACCAAAACTTTCTGAAGGTTTCAATACCTCTAAATTAGGCTAAGGGGTTTGAGTTCTTTGTATTTTTTTTTAAGTAAAATATCTATTTTATTTTGATCAGGATTTAGAGGTTTTCAACTTAATGAAAAAAAAAAATTCCAATTTGGATTTCTCAAGTTCGTTTTTGCGTTAAGATGCTTCCTGTTGGTAATACTTGGAATTGATCAGTCAAAATGGAACACAGAATAAATCTTTCTCTCTTGCTCACTGTGTAATGAAGATAAAATTCCCATAAAATATATGTTTCTAATAAACTATTAAAAATAGCTAATGAAACATTTAAAAGACAACAGTTAGATAATCCCTTTTTTTCTCCTCCAAATAAATCTGAACTGACCAATTGGTTAATTTCCCTTTTAAGTGCTTGTGCTGAAAAGCAACTGTTCTTCCAAGAAAGCACTAGCTGTTTCCAGGATACTTACACACGCACAATGACTCATGATGGAATAGATTCAGTAAACATACAGCTGTACTGAACACGAGCTAAGCTCCATTCAAGGCCAGGAAAGAAAATGAGCACAAATAAATATTAAGGAGGTAAAGGGGGGCTGGGAGAGGGGGATGGAACGCAAACAAGATCTGTCCCGGCAGCTCATGTGGCTTTGCCTCAATTCTCTTACCATAGCTTTGTGAAGACAGATGACATTCAATTCTATGTGTAATGCTAAATAGACAATAACTGCTGAAACTTGAGACAGCTGCCAGGTGTAAAAAAAAAAAAAAAAAAAAAAAAGAGGAAAATAAAAAGAAAAAAGAAAGAGAAAAAGAAAAAAGAAAAGAAAGATGATAAATCCATAAATTAATGAAAGACATCTGCTCGGGAATATAAAAGATCAGAGAAGCAGGGGACTGCAGCTGAACTTAAAGCGGTGTTCAAACAACCTGAGCTCCTAAGTGTTGTCTGTTTACCGAGTACAATATAACCTTACCTAAACTGCAGCAGCGGGAGGAGCAGCAGCAGAGGCAGCAAAAAGGCAAATGGGAGAATAATAGGTTGTGAAGGCTGGAGGAAGAAAATTCTTTTTTTTTTTTTTTCCCAACTGAATTCTGCTCCTGGCCACAGATTTTACATTGCTGTGATTCCAAACAAATGGATGGGAACTACTTAGATTTGTTTCTAAAACACCACTTAGATTTTTCTAAAACCCCTAGAAATCTGAAGAACTGTAGATTTCCCTTTCCTCTCAAATTCACTATTTCTCGTGTTCCCCCCTAGAAATTTTGAATGGGTGGAAAAAAATCTAAACTGCCTCATTTAAGGACAGCGACAGAATAAGTTGTTATTCCACCAAGAAGTCCAACATAATCAGAGAGACATGTAGTTTGTAAGTCTTTAACATTTTTATTATGTATTTAGATATATATAGATGTGTGTGTGTGTGTGTGTATGTGTGTGTGTGTGGGGAGGGTGTGGGTGGGTGTGTGTGGTAGGGAGGTTGAGAGCCCAGAGTCTTTTCTCTTTAATCTACATGTTTCACTATAACCAACAGAATTACTATGGCCCTGAAAATTTTCTAAAAATGTAAAAGACAAACTGCTGTGGATTGTTTCATGTGTTAGAAATTCATTTTTAATCCATGTCTTCTGCCTCGTTTAATTTAAAATGACCAACAGTTTAATAGACTGTGAGTATTTTTAACATTTTCCCTAGAAGTTAAGTAGGGAAAACTGGTGTCACAGAGAGCAGGCTCAGTTTCTTTACCTGCACATCTTAATGGCTTATACTACTACTCTTGGGCTTTAATTGGGTACATGCAAATGTTTTGGGCCTAAACAAGGCTATTTTTCTTGAGATGCAAAGAGGATGAATGACAAGGAACTTCACGAAGAAAAGCAATTGGCTGGCCCTTTCTTTAGGAATTTGAATAAAACTTAATATTTGATTAAATAGATTCATTTGCAAAGATACTGAACACATTTTTTATGTACAAGACAGGAGCTCTTGGGGCAGGTGCACTGATACTCAGGTTAACATGCACACATTCGCTATGTCTTTTCGGCTAGAATGGACTATGAAGTAGTGTGTTCTGTTTAAAGAACATATACATTTAAGGTGCTCAACCCAGGGTGGATTTATCGGGTAAGCTTTTTTTCTTTTAAGAGAGATTTTTTGGTATAGGGGAATGTGCGCTTGCCAGAGATACAGAGAAACAGAAAGCGAGAAATCACCCTTTCCGGGGCATAGCCATGCCACAATCCCTTCTCCTCCATTCTCCTCTCGGGAGTTTTAGCACACATGCACACATGCCCAGTATGAGCTTTAAGCCGCTGAATCTAGGATTCAAACCATGGTTGATTATGTAGGAGTCCCGCAACGTAACCGCTACACCATCTGCTGGTCCCAAAGGTGGTGTTCTTAGTAGTTCTGATCTTTACTACTTGGTTCAAAAAACAGATGATACCCATTGGAATAAGAAAAAAATCATTCTTTAAGAATTGAATTATAACAATTGAGAAAACTATGAACTAAAAATAAAAACAAAATAAGTGGCAATCATAGTGGTACCATTTCATCCTGATACTTATTTCTATTGATCTTTTCTAGGAATAATTATTCAACAGGTTCAAATGTGGCCCTATATTCCTAAAATGGAAGACAGACATCATTTACTGCAATTACCAGAAATTTCTTCAAACTAAAACCTTGAGAATTTTGCCTATAGACTATCAGGTAAAGCAAGGGAAAGACTCATTGCCATACAGAGATAGACATAGGAACAAAGTGAAGCCAATCTCCCCCCAAAACACTCAAATTCTCACTGGTTTCAGAACTACGGGCACTATAGAAAAAGTTGTGTGTCTATTTTCTTCCTGAAAAATAATGTATCAATGAGCTGAATGATTAAAAGTACAATGTAGTAGAGGAGAAACAGAAAGAACCAGAGGATAGGCCAAAAAGTAGACAACAGGTAATTATAACAAGAGGCCAAAATGATTTAGCTCTATGAAAGAAACAACTCCAGGTGTAAGCAAATCATATTTCATATGAACATGGGTGTTTTCAACCATTATGGTTCAACAGAATCTTGTACTGGTAGTAGATAGGAAAAGTTATTCCTATGAAAAATAAGCAACCATATTTTCTTTAAAGCCTTTGACATCTATAGAAATACAAGGACCTTCTTTGCATTCAAATCCTCAGAATTCCTCAGGGGATTTAGAGAGGGTGAGACAATGAGTATAGCCAACACTTAAAGCAATTTAAAAGGCTTTTTCCCTCCTAAAAGACCAAATTTGGTCTTTAAGATAGAAAAAGGAAAAAGCATAGTTGTAATTATCTGGTTATAATAAAAAAGTCCATGCTAAAAACAAAATGAAACATAAACTGGTATCTTGAGCTAAAGAGTTTAGTATAGCATGATAGGATTTTGAAACCCGCTTCTAAGTATTCACCAAAATATGCATGTATGCCCTTTTACTCTATGTGTGTGTGTGTGTGTGTGTGTGTGTGTGTGTGGTTTGTGTGTTGGGGAAACCCACTATCACTACTATTTGATTTAAAATGATGTTAAAGAATCTTAGAGGAGCAACAGGGTCTAACCCTACATATTAGTCTGGCATGAGATTCTAAAGATATTCTGCTTGTAAAGGATAAAAACCACTCAAGCCATTGTGTCTTCTTTTTTTGCCTTTCTCATCACTGACAGCTAGATTCCAATCATTTTGACCAGTACTTATTACCTGTTTATAATATGTAAGGCATGATGTTTGGTGTAGCTTTGAGTCATGACTGGGGGATTCAGTTTTCAGTCTCCTAAAGGTAGAAGTTAAATTAGCAACCAAGCTAAGACTCAACTTTTATTTATACATCTAAGCCCTCAACATCTTTCTCTTTCCTTTCTCTCACGTTGCTCTCTTCTTTCTCACTGTGGGAAGAGAGTCCACCTCTATCTACCCAATGGGCCTCATACTCAGGGCTCCAACTCACCTTATCGGATATCTTCACTACTATCATGAGAATTAGTTGAAAGGAAAGCCTCCACTCACCAGGAAAACATATTCTCATGGTAGCTGGGACTTTGTACTTATGTGGCAGCCTTTGGAGTGGGCTTAGATACTAAAATGTCAATCGCTAGTCATCAAGACGATTGCTCAAAATCCTCAATTTAGTAACTGCCAACTTAATTGCTAAATTTTATATCCATCTGGTAATTTATTATACAAGAAACATGTTTTCACCTGCCCCCAAATGCCACTGTTCTACTCCCCCAAAAGACCAACAACCACAAAATTTTTAAAAATTTACTGAAAGAACCAATTTACACAGAAAAAAAATCATCAGTTAAAAAGAGCTGGAGTTCAGAATAGGTCTGATAAAATATTTAACTGGCATCTCTAGACAAATATCAGGTTCAGAATGTAAGAGTCGTAAAAAGATAGCCATTTTTTAAGTCTAACACAGCTGAGTTTTATATTTAATTGTACTCTTTCGCTTTCCAAAATAATTTGCTTTGTGTATGTTAGGACAAAAGATTTCTGTGTATGGCTGAACAGAGGTTAATCATGCATAGAGGCAGCTGCACCAGACCCAAAGAACAGACCTTGGGTGAGCGAGAGAGACCGATGCCGTCTGAATAAATCAGTACCTGTATACTTCCTTAAAAAAGAACAAGTTTCCCTTAACGATTAAAGAGAGAATCTAAATGGCCCATCACCACACACATACCTCTTACTCCCACCCCAGTTTCCCACAATAAAGTGCTCTTCAGAAGATTTAATTGGTCTTCTTTAAATGGGCCAGGAGTCTTGTCTATGGTTTAAAGTGGGAATTCTTCTTACGGAATTTTTGGGCTCTGAAAACTGACTCTTCCCTTTACTCCATTACAAAATTTGCCATCTTAAAAAAAAAAAAAAAAACTGAGAAAATTTAATAGTTACAGTAAGATGTTTTCCCATCTTACTCTATCCTTAAAAAAGAGAGAGAGCTAGAATATAGGAAAAACGGCAGGGAAAAACACTGCTGGAAAAGCACATGTTAAACACCAGGACCTTGAGGCAATTAACAGCTTGTGAAAGTTGCAAAGAAGTGGGTTTAGTTTTAAGCTTTTCTGTGATCAGCAATGCTACATGCATGCTGATGAAAACCTCTTACGCCGAATAATAAGGAAGATTGGATTTTTAAGAGGGTACTAATCTATATTATTCTCTAGATCCTGTCAACCTAGCCTTTTGGGAAACCTCTTTTGGGGCTTTAGTTTACTTTTTCCTTGAGGGGAAAGAAAAGGATATTGCACTTCCCGAATAAGGTGAGATTTCGGACATGTCTTGAAGATCTCCGCACTCGGACTTTATGAGCGATAAGGAGAGCCCTTCGGCGGTGCTGGGTGGGTGTGCTGGTGAGCAAGGATGGTGGCTCAGGTGATGGGATGACATCTTGGTCCTCAGACTCGTTGTATCCCTAGTTAAGTCTAAGGATTCAGGAGAGGCTCTGTCTTTTCCAGAGAAGGAGCCAGAGGGAGCACCTAATGGACTCTGAAATGGGTAGGCCATCAAGGGAAGGGGGAAGGGATGGCGGAAGGTGGACGTGGTGAAGCCTGCGGTGGCCGAGAGAGGCGACTGGTGGAGGGGCTGGTGGTGGCCGCCAGCAGTGGGGCCGGAGGCAGACTGGTCAGATGAGTTTTTGCGGACAACCAGGGGCAGTGCTTCTGTCTGGTCTGTGGAACTGGGCATCGGCACATTGCCAAAGGTGTCCAGGGGGTTCGGAATGATGACGTCGCCAAAACACTGCAGGCGCTGGTTGGCGGTGTGGAAATTGTGGTTTTCCCCATTGACTGCAAATCTGGCCTGGGGGATCTGGAGAGGTGGGAAGACCTGAGGAACTTGGCGGGAGGGTTTGGCCGAAAAGACTTTGACCACAGTGTCCACAACTTGCGACATGGCAGTGTTCAGTTCCTGTTTCAAGGTCTCGGCCAAATGTTTGCCTTCTGGTTGTAAGGAGTTTGGCCCGTGGTCTCTTTCTTTGTTGTTGCCTTCTCGCTTCGGCTTGTTCTCAGCCATTTCCTGCTCTCTGATCAGGGCTCGGGCACGGTCGATAAACTGTCCTGGGTCCAGCTCGCACATCTCGTTATCTGACCTCCCCACGGAGTCCTGGGCCCTGGCATCCAGGATCTCTGAGCGCATGCTGTCTTCAGACAGGTTACCATCTTCATCATTTTCAGAATCAGTGCTGTCATAGATTTGGTAGAACTTTTCCTGCAGCTGGCGCAGCTGTTTCTGCATGTCCTCCAGCTGCTGTTTCAGCTGTCGGCGCTCCTCTCGCTTCTGTTCTTTTCGGGCTGAAACCAGCTGCTGGAAACTCTGTTGCTGCTGCTGGGGCAGCTTTTGCTTGCGTTTGTTTTCTCTGTAACTTTCTCGGGGACTCACAGACTGCGGGGCCATCTCTCTTTCATTTTCATTGCCCCTTAATGCCACACTGGGGGAATGGCTCATACCCCGAATTATATTCTCAACCCGGGCGCGCTTTGCTCTCAGGTGCTCATCACATAAGCGATCCATATCAAACTGGCTCATAGTAGGCCTGCCAAAAGGGGAAAGACACTCTGGGGGGCTGTCTCTTGAAGAGTTGCTGCATATATCCTCCTGATGTACTTCGGAGCCTGTACTAGAGAGACCGCTGGCTTGGAAACTGGGCTCCGTGCCACCATTTTTGTTCATGTTATTTTTCAACAGCTGGGAAATTATGGTTGCTCCTGGAAAAGGCATCATGGCATCTTCATACGAGTTCGCCCTCTTCAGCAGCTTGCGGAGTACATTTGACTTTTCCCCATCTGCATGCTGCACCACTGAATACTCGACATCCTGCTCAGAACCTTGGGGATTCATGGCACTAAAAAACGTCGCTCTTGCCTTAGCAAAAAATGCAGATGCTGTCCCTACCGTCCTTTTCACTCCAATGTCAACTCTTCTCCTCTTGGTTTGCCGGCTTAAGAGGGCTGTGCTGTCATGGTCAGGCATCACTGGACGGTTATTGTGCCATCTTCAAAAGCTCGTCAGCTGGGCACAGCTCAAGAATCCCGGGACCCTGGCCAACAGAACAAAAGGACTGATGAATCATTTTCTTTAAATTTCTCCAAATTTCCTGACCTCAATCCTGAATCAAATGCAAAATGCATAGGCTCTGGGATTTATGGCACATTACAATTATTGCAATTTATTATGCACTCTGCTTGAAATGAAACATTTTAAAATATTTCTGCTCCACTGGTTTAAGATGGATTAAGATTAAAAAAAAAAAAAAAAGCAAAAACTGCTTAAGCACCAGTAATATGATTCTCTTTCACAAATGCCTAAAATGATACTGTTTATCTTCAGAAGAAACAGTAGATTATAAGAACACAGCCTCTGACAACCAATTGATTAAATTTGGGGCATTGAGATTCATATTATAAAAGAAGATGAAAGTGGTCTATACTTAAGAAATAAGGTTAAATTTTGAGGCTGCGTGAAATTTGGATGAAAAATTCCTTTTCTGCATTAAAATGATTATGTTTTTAATACTGTTAAAGGAAAAAGACTCGAAAAGAAATGCAAATTTTAACACACACACTTTATTACTGAATTTAAAAATATTTTTGTCATTCATGAAATGGGAAGAAGACCCCAATCAATACCTTTCCAGCATAAATGGTCAGTTCAGCATTGACATAAATGCACACATACTCATTTTTACAATTCTGATTATTTTGCATAGCTGTGCATTTTTTATTAGTTGAATCATATGTAAGGCTAGTATCTGTTGCTACATCTCAATGTAACTATGAGAATATTTATACATGTTTACAATGTCTTTTGGGTGACTAAAATTATTATAAAGTTGGATTTACTGCAAAAGAAAGATGTCACATCTTAGAAATCACTATGTGAAACAATACATTATTGGGTGAGGCAAGGATAAATACATCTTCAGGACTAGTTTTCTTATGTTAAAATTTGCCAAAATAATGCTTCAAATGCCTAAGGAAAGGGTCTATCATCAACCATTTGTGAATCTTCTATCTTATGCCAATTTAGAGGGGATAAAAAAAGAAAAATAAAAAACTGAAGGAAGGTAAGCAACAAGGAAAAAAATAACATCTATTACATATGTGAGAAAGAGAAATATCTTCTTTGTATATGAACTTCCATTGTTTCTTGGAAACACAATATAGAAAAAGAACATCCTTGCCTTTTTATAAAAGGCACTGGCCATATTGTATGACTTAGTACCTAGTGATGCCAGCTCCAAATTTTGTATAAATATAAGATGGCCCATCTTTTTGTTTATAATTAACATTTTATGGAGAAAATGAAAATATTTTTTTCATGCCGGGTTTATCTAATATTAAACTTCACGTTTGCTTAACAGAGCACATCTTCACAATAACAGGGTCTATTGCCAAAGGCAGCGTGCAGAGTGTTTGGAACAGCTCCCATCTCTTTCGGTTCACCTGTAAAAACATCTACGTGCTCCCTAGGACTGCATCTGTGGCTAGTTTTAAAGAATGACTATCCATGCAAATAGGCATAATTTCAGCATGAAATAACCTGTAAAAAATCAAGAAAATGCTCACTGCTTAGATGGCAACAATATGCATTTTTTTTTTTAAGAGAAAAAGATTTCATCATGCAGTCCTTGTTTCTGGTTGATACAATTTTTTTTTTTTTTAAAGGTTTACAATCTTCCTGGAAGATACAGTATTTTTAAAAGCCTACTTTAGGGTATCATGAAAGCAAGATGATGCTTCTTCATATTGTCTTATGTATGCTTGGAGGTTGAAATACTTTTTGTATGCATCAGAATAAAATTTCCTGAACTTGGAATGGATACGGAGATCTCAATAACTTCGAAATTGGGTTGAAAACTGAATTCGGAATGATTGAGACTCCTCATATAGTAATAATAAAATGTTGTTTCAGAAATGCAGAAATGTAGTGACAAATATCTCCCTAACACATTTAGATCTGATTAATCAGGGACAACTGTCAGGTAAGAGAAAGAACAAGGAGAGACTGAGACAAATAAGAAAAAAAGATGAATCATTTCAAAGCTCTGTTAATCATAGAGACACTTGCATATGGCGGGGGTTACAAGGAAGGTGTTTTGTATGTGTATGTCTGCTTTCTAAAAATCCAATTCATTGACATTATTTTAAAATTTCAACTCTTGTTTTTGTGTACAAATCTTTTCTCCTTACTATCACCTGCAAAGCACATGATTGCTAATCAAAACATTGAACAAACTTTCCACAGTATTTTTTCTCCCTCTGTTCACCTTCACACCCAAACTGAGCTTGTCTCCTGCCTATCCTTGCTGGGGGAAGAGCACCTCTGCAAAAGAGGCTCTTTAGTGTCACTGATGAGCACAAGGTCATCGCCAGGCATCCTTCCTTTCCCAGCTGCCATTTACCTCTGCGTCAACTGCATTTCCTCTCATCTAGTCTAGGTATCAACAGCTGCATCCCTGCCTCATTCGGGAGCCAAGAGGAGGGCTGTGCTCTTCCAAAGGTGCAAAGAAATGATACTCTCATCTTCAATGGACAGTAAGTGTTAATTAAACGCTTGATGGGTCTGTTAAGAACAAGATATCCTATAACTCTCTCTAAATGCATCACACTAACCTGATTTTTGTCATTCACTTTCCAACGGTCAACATTTGTTAGAGGAATGATTTGTTTCAGGTCTGGGGCTGAGAGAATTGAAATACTTTCAGGTCTTGTTATAAAGTGTCCAGCTGAGAGATTGCCCATAGGACAAAATGAAGGAAAAAATTACGTAACTCAGCAAGACAAGGTATTATATTATCAGCATAAATAAACACGTCTCTCCATATAGCTTAGACCTAACGTTAGAAAACAAGATAGAGGGGTGGTATACATTGGAAGCATGTCCTACAGAGACCATAGACAGGATTAAATAATAGTAACTAACTTAGTACTTTATTAGCATCATGTATCACACACATATACACACAAACACATATGAGTCTTCAAAAAGTTTATGGAAAATGTGCTTTTAGAAGTCTCTTCATATATATTTACCACATAGGAAAATTCATTATTAAGTGACCATAATATAAATTAAATAACTTGAAAACATTTTCCATGTGCCTCCATGATTTCCCACTTCAGAATTTATAAAAATGCTCTGGAGTGACCTTACTATAAATATGGCCCTGTCCATAAAGATTTTTAAAAATCTTCTTTATTTCTCAGCATATGTACTAAACTATGATGATTCAACCATAATTATTACTAGTTATCTTTATATTTTAATTCTAATGTTAATTTTTAGTTTAACCAGGTAATATCAATGAAGCATTCTGAGGAGGACTGGTGATCAGCAAGTTTGCAGAAAATTACTGAGTTCAAATTTGAGCCCAAATGTATTATTGATCAGATATACACACTCTATTCCTGTAAATACCACTTTAATTAATACAAACATCTATATAGATTATTTTTTATTATTAAGTATTTTGTTGCATCAATCGACATCCAATCTGCACATGTTTTATTAATCCCTATACATTGGATTTTTTTAACATACCAGATTCCTCTCAGAAAAAGATACTATAAAAATAAACATCTAGACAAAATCAAGATTTTAACTTCTTCAGAAATTTTCTATTAAAATCTGAATGATCTGACAGCCTACTTAGCATGGAGAATCCCAAAGAAACAGATGATTTAATGTTAGGAGAAAAGAATTTTCAGTGAAGAATTTCAAGGGAACACTGCACTATGAAGTAGAAAGTGCTTCAGTGCTCCACTTTAATAAAGAAGTTATTTTGGGGAGAGGGATGCAACTTTTACTGCATCTATCTGGAGTCCAGATTCTGGACAAAGAAGTGTTTCATTATGGTAATTATCCAGATAGTTCAGACAAATCTTTTATGAGACAGGGAGAGTATAAAGTTGGCATGGTTTCCTGCTTGGATTATTTAGATTATCTGTCTTTGTGATAAAATTATTTGAAGAAATTGCTCAAGCCTACACTTCATTTATTTTAGAAAATCATCTTTGAATGGTCTTCTAATCTACTTGAGTCAAGCTGGTTATGAATTTCAAATGGAATATCACTAACAAAGACTATTTTAAATCAATCTGGAATTCAGTAATTCAAGGGGGAAAAAAAAATCAGATGATCTGATTTAGGTACCCTCCAAATCACTAAGGTGTCTCTTTCACTGTATTTAAAGAGTTCATTTCTGTTAATTAGCAACTTTTCCTTCAGAGATGTTTCTGCTTGTGATCAGGTTAAGAAAGTATTGACTGTTTATTTTGAAGAACCTACTTAGCATAAGCTAATACTTCAATTAACTAAGATTGTGTTGTTAGGCTTTAAAATTTCCTATCATAAAAAAGTTCTCAAATTATAACCATTTCATTTAAGATTTCTCCATCTTATCACAAATTCCATACATTAGTCACCTGCAAAATAAACACCTTTTCAGAGACATGCCTAAAATAGTATTTTCTACTACTTAAAAAGTAATGATTTACCAAACTGTTAAAAAAGAGAGTGAGAAATAATCTTAAGAAAATACACTCATACTTTTCTTTTTACAGCTAATCAAAAATACTCTAAATGTCCCTGGAGGTTTTGAAAAACACTAGGCAATAAGATTTGAGAAATTCCTTATGTATATGTCCTTTCCAATTTATGCAGGTACTTAGAATCCTATAATAATATATCATGCACAATTCATTTCCATATTATAGCATCAGTAACATTTTATAATTTCTTCGATTCATCTTAAATCTAAAAATTTTTACATTCCTATTGCAAATCTGAGACAATCCCTAAGATGATAAAAGAAATTCATAAAAATAAGGCCCGTTTGAGTTTTAAACAAATAAAGAAGAAGTTGGACAACTTATGAACTGAACTAGCTTAGGTTTTGGGGTTGCCTGTGCTGCTTCTAGAAGAAAGATGCCCCAGATGAATAAAGTGAGAACAAAGCTGCACGTTACGTATGCATGACTTTTTTCCCCATAGGGTGGTGATTAAACTAAATAGAACTCTGCATAATGGACACATAAAATATCAGTAAGTGCCAAGCACAGATAACCCCTATTAAACATAAAGCAAATGAACACAGCCATAGATGACATTTTAATTACCAAAGAACTTCAAAAGCATCGATGAAAAGTATTGGGGGGGGCACTTTGATGTTTAAGTCTAAAGAATAAATGACACATATCATCTCATTTTCATGGAAACAATGATCACCCAAACAACAAAACCAAACAACAAAAACCATTCACCATTTAACCTATTCCGGTGCAACACACTTAAAGAAGTGGTCTGTTTAAAGAAAAATTCTAAAGGTCAAGTTTTACGAACCCGGATACAGTGCTCATCTTATACCCCCAACATCTTCCCTCAACATCAAGCCGCAGTCCTTAATATCACCTAGTTTATCATGATATAAACACGTTCATACTGTAGTCTGTGGACAGATGAACACGAATCCTCTCCTTTTCCTGTCTTACCACGCACAGCCCATTCCATTTTAAAAATACTTGGAAGTTCTTGCAGGAAACTCTTCATAGAACTGACGGCCTACATCTTGCATCAAATAGAAAAGCACAGTTACCTCTCATGTACTTGAGGTTTTCCTTCTCCATCAAAGTCATATCTAGGACATCTGGCACATGTCTGGTGCAATGACAGGCTCGTTCTACTTTATGAGAGTATTTAACATAGGACTTGAAAGAGTTTGTGCACATACCTATTCTTTCTGGGCAGGGAGAGAGCACTCTACAAAAGATAAGCTTGAACAACAGTAACACTTTCAAACTGACTTTGGTATTCTTGGCAGTTACACACTACCCGTGGCTGTCCAAAACACACACACACACACACACACACACACACACACACAAAGGACAGCTCTCTCTCTCCCTGTCTCGCTTTTTCTCTCTTTCTCTGTCCCTCCCTCCCTCTCCCTGCCAAGCACAGACCTGAGAGAGAGGCATAAACTAGAGAGAAGCAAAGGGAAAATCAATCTCCCTCCACCTGCTGCCTGAAGTGCGCTGCTTTCAGCAGACTGGCAGACAGAAGCCTGAGACAGCCTCAGCAGCAGCCAGCCAACATCCTTAAGAAAAATAAACACACACACACACCAACTTGCCCCCCACCCCCACCCAAAGAACTCACATGGCAAGGCTCAAAACACAACCACCCAATTCTCATTAGTCCAGACAATCCTATTAACCAAGACGACCATAAATTCATAAACCTCTACAACCCTGGAGCAAGCTTTGTGGTCTGGAACTGTGCAGACACACACACACAGAGGAAATTTGCACCTGTCTTTCTTGACACAACACACCTGTCAGGCCCTGCCATGTGCACTCTGCTAATAGACTTCTGCCTACCTAGTTTAGGAAAGGAAATTATTTTTTTTCCCCCTGAGGGAGAGCATGGGTGGAAAAGAGAGAGAAAACAAGAGAGACTCTTCTAGCCTTGACTTTGAGAGAAGGCCACCCTGTGCTTCCTCTGTTTTTACAAGCTCAAGGAGACAACACAGACCTTCTTGGAAAAATAAAAACAAGCAGGTGAGTTCCCAGCCTTCCCCCCAGGCGGAGTAGGGTTCTGGGTTGCCAAGAACAGCAGTTTCTTTCCCCAACCTGCCTCCTTGGGCTATTTAAGACTCTCGCCCAAGTCCTCCTCCTACTTAGGTTCTCAGTCAGCCCCGAGGGCTCTTAACTTCCAAAGAGGCTGGGAAGGGGCGGGAAAGGGCCGCGAGTCCGTGGAAAGCTACTCCCCCCTCACCCCCGCCCCCCACCCCCCCCGGCGCGGTCCGGGGAAACCCCCCCCCCCCTCCCCCCCCCCCCCCCATCCACTCTGTCACCGACGTTCAGTTTCAGCAGCAGGAGGAACTGGCAGGCACAGCAGAAGAACCAACAACTTGCTAGACTGGACTTTGGGTGATGCCCCCCCCACCAACCCCATCCCCTTCCTCGTGTGTTCAGGCAAGATAGCAGCTCTCCCCCCTCTCCCCGCCCGCCTCGCTGTTCCTCCCAGTAACAATTACGCTCACCTCTCCTCTCCTCCCCTGTCCTCGCAACTGGGACAGAACGGTAGGTACCACCCGGGCGAGACCAGATCGACGCTACCCCACAACATCGACTGCCAGCGATGGCCAGAGTCTTCGCCTCGCCGGGGCGCTGCCCAGAACGCCCCTGCCCCCACCCGGACTGCTGTCCCCGGGTCCCTCCACCGTCCGATCCCCCAGGCGCCTCGACCACCTTACCCTACTCCACTTGACCCAGCCCTGGGTCCAGGGAGCTCAGGAAAGGGACGCAGCGCTCCCTTCCAGGGACCCATCACTCCACCACTCCAACCCCGATTTCAACATTTCGGCTACGACAGACAGCGTTTGGAGAGGAAAGTAACAGAGCGCCCCCCTCCTCCCTCTCTCCTCTTTTCTACTCCCGGCCCTCAGCCGGGGTTAAAAAGGAGAAGTGAAAGGTATGCAAATGACAAGCAAATTGGAAGAGCTGGGAAGAAAGGCTGCTATAATAAACAAGACAAAGAGCGAGGACAAGGGGGCGAGCCCCGGAGTTTAGCCGGGGGAGGTGGGAAGGATGAGGCTTGGCGGAGAGCGAGGATCCAGAGGAACAAAAAGCGACCCGGTCCCCCTCGCGGTCCTCTCTCCTAAGAGAGGGCAAAAGAAAGAAGGAAAGGAAGCAAACGCCTCCTCACACCCCAGAAACAGTACACAAAAGGTGACAAGATCAGCGACAAGTCCGGCAACATCAGCCTCCCCCCCTCGCCACCACCACCCCCACCAGCAGGAACCGGAGAGAAATAAAAGCCAAGCGGATCACTTACTCTTGGGGAGCGGGAGGAGCGGAGCGCGGAGTTCCACTGAGGCTCCTGCTTAGAAACTGTTTAGAGGCTATTTTATTAGGATTCATTTAAATAACACCATTTTTCTCCTGGAAAAAAAATGTTTACACGGGTATGAGTAATGGGAGGCTCTTTTCTTTCCTTCTCATTCAAGAACAAGCCAGTGCAAGTGATTCTGGAAAAGGGGAGGGGACTCACGGGGGGGAGCAGATACTTACGCGGTGCAGGGAGCAGTGGGACGGAGCCTCTCTTTTTTTTGCCGGCAGAGAGAGGAAAGAAAACACGCGCGCGCACACACGGTGATATCTTGCGGGTGATGAATATGATAATTGGACAAGGGACGGTGAGTCTGTGCGAGAGCGAGCGAGCGGGGCGAGCCGGAGAGGGAGAGGGGAGAGAGAGGAGGCGGGGAGGGGAGAGGAGAGGAGAGCAGAGAAGGGGAGAGGAGAGGAGAGGCGAGGAGAGAAGAGGAGGAAAGGACAGGAGAGAAGAGCAGGGAGGAGGAGAGGAGAGCAGAGTGGAGAGGAGAGAGCAGAAGCGCAGAGGAGCGAAGCGGAGAGGGAGCAGGCGGACCCGGCGAGAGCTCTTTTGCGCCGCTCTGCTTTCCCCGGCTGCAATGGTGTATTATTTCAGAGCGCTCCCTCAGCTGAGGGCTCCGCTCCACAACAAGATTTACTTTAAGACACAGCTGAAGGAAACAGGAAGACTGCACGTCACAGTCTGACTGACGTACCCGGCCCCAGCACCCAATCGCGAGGCGCCTTCGGATTCAAGGGGGGATAGCGAGGCAAGAGAACTTGGGAGGAAAAAAAAAAATATATAAAAGGGGTGGGGGTGTTTTTTTTTTGGATCGCCGCCGGGGCCGGAGCGAGCCATCTGCGGGCACTATGCAAAGCGGGCGACCGCGCGAGCGGCGCTCGGCTCCCTCTCGCTCTTCCAGGACGCAGGTCCTTCTTCTTCTCCTTCTTCTTCTTCTTCTTCTTTTTCTTCCTTTCCTTTTTTTCATTTCCCAGATACAGCTGATCGAGTTCGCCGAGTAGCCGAGCGTGTGAGCGCTCCTCGGGCTTGGGTGGAGGAAGGCACGAAAAGTATACTGGACGAAAAGTGGGGGTTTTAGGCTTGAGGGTTGTACAGGAGGAGGGAGCGAGAGATCTGCACATCATCCCACTTTTACAACGGGCATAGGTAGTACCAAGAATACAGGTCACCCTTGTTTCCTTTTAAAGGGGAGGTGGACAATAAAGTGCAGGTAGGTTTGGGATTAAAATAATAGGTGCCAGAGGTTTCACACTGGGTCCGCTGCATCTAATATTAGAAGGTCAACATTGGCTGAGTCCCAGTCCATCTCCCGTCAAAATTATTAGGAAGAAGAATATTTACTCCTGGTTACCTCTAGCAACATTGTTTGTATTGTGGGTACAGGAGCCTTTTAAGATACATGTTACAAACATTATCTCTCGATTAGCCCTCACTTACTCACTCACCCCAGCGTGGCCACAGAACGCGATCCAATCCAGGATTTACACACTTTTGACGCCTGGGTAAAAAGTTTAAAGTTTATTAGGCAAGAAATCGTAAACACTTAAATCTCGGACTCCAACGTAAAGCCATAGAAAATTCACTTTGGTCTTGCCATTTCTTGAATAAAAAATAAGGTGCACGATTTCTTAAGATAATGTGGCTCTTACAGAGTTTCTAGGGCTTTGCAAGTTACAAATGCTAAAGAGCAAGTCTCCAGCCTCCACGGGCACGTCTTTTTCACCGGGGACAGTAAACCGCTTTTAATAAAGCAGCTGCGTTTATGACTTAAAGATCCTAGAAAAGCTAAGACTTTCAAGAGCCCACAAAGCAGAAACATTCAAACCTAGTCGGCTAGACATGCGTATTTTTAGGTAGGAAGGGGACACGTATTTTTCGTGTGTCCCTCAAATTCACTCAGATCAAAGGTTGAATCATGTGTTGTGACAACAGGGTATTTATGAGGTGTGTTACAAGTACATTGGCCAACCGTTACCACCATCTTCACACACACACACACACACACACACTTCTTTCTAGGACATTTACAATTTCAGCCTCACATTCATGAAACTGTGAAGAGGACAGCAAGTCTGTCTTTGAATAAGAATAGCGATGTTTGTATGTACAAGTTTATGCCTGTAGCAAACTTTGGGCACAGAATTAAAACACTGAAAAGAAGAAAAAACACATCAGGTCGGCCAGGTCAGATGTTGGTGATAAGAAAAGGGACGCAGGAGCTTCTCCAGCCTTCTTTTGCCCCCTTTCGCCACCCTGACACTCCCCCCACCTCCATGACGGAAACCACACAGGCAGCCCGCACACACCACTCACACCTCCAGTGATCCCCTACTGTATCAAGTGTTCTAATCGGGACATGACAGTTTAGTCTGGGAACAGAAATAATCTATCAACATGCCCATTAAATAGAGGACGGAACCATGCTTCTGTTGGTTGGGTCGCTTCGAGGTAAGCGGGTGTATTGAGTGGGGAAAGGTGGGTTCTGAGAATGGATCAATACTACTTCCTTTCTCCTCTTTCGTCCTATGACTTAAGAATCTTAGTTTGTACGTAAATTAGAGCCAGCCCACAAACAACCGGCAAGAGCAAAGGATCTATGTGCTACACACCTAAAAACCCATCTGTTCAGTTTGACATTTAAAAGGGAGGAGGGTATGAAAGAAGGGATAGAAGGGGAAAGAAAGGGAGCAGAGTAAAAGATTCAGACTCTGGAAAGAAGAAATGGCTTGAACTTTAGTCCACAAATTTCTGTCCGTTGCACCCAGCGCTTCAATGCACGTTTTGCACACAGTACACCCAGGCGCTGGCGCCGGGAAAAGTTCCCTGCGAACCCTAGTAAGTCCTCTGTCACGCCGGGATAAGGCAGGCCTGAGTCGAAGTCCGTTTACCCGTCTGGCAAACAAGGAAGCGCCCCCACCCCCAGCCTTGGTGGCAGAGGCTCGCGGTTCGCCAGGATCTGCCGAGGCGGTTCGCAGCCCGCATTAGGGCTCAGAAGCCGCTGGTTGAAATAGGAGCGCGCACGACGCTGTGCAAGCGAGCTCCGTCAGCAGCCCAGTTCCGCTAGCTGCCTGCGCTGAGAGCCCTGTCCTGTCCCCTGCTGTTGGGGCGACATACAGGCCAGGCTCCTGGCAGTCTCTCTTGCCAAAGCTGTAGCGCTTTCCCGGGTCTCAGATGGTCCTAGAGCAAGGCTGGAGGCCCGAGCCCCCTTTCTCCGGCGACTCCCAGTTTGTGTTCTGATAGGAGAGAAGCGATCAGTCAGCCAGAGAAGATGCCTAGATACTGACTCCATCTCTGAAACCCGCCACCAAGCCTAGGATCAACTCTCTTCCTCTGCCCCCATTGCCAACACAGCCCTAGTAACTTAAAAGTTAACCGAAGTTCTGACGGGTCGTCTAACAAACACTATTCATGTAGGTTGCATTCACTTATTGATCCAAAGGTTCATCTGTGTGTTCTTTGTCAAACTCATGCAGTTATCCTTCCTGCATCTGGCTCCGGATTGAACAGACCTCACTTCCACCTCTCCTCCGTGGGCTTTATCCCCTCCTGTTCTTATTTAAGGCCATTGGGTGGGGGTGGGAGGGACGGCACTGTCTCTAAGTAATTTAAAACCTGACCAGCCCTCATCAGATCCTAAACAAATCAATTCTGGGAATTTCAGACAGACCCAGTGGAGAGGCAAATGTGGGCAAGAATTTGGAGAAAGCTGCCTGGAGCCTTCGGGTCACCCACCTACACACCTCCACCTTCACCACCATCCAGAAGGAAATCAAACCCACCCTAAGGTGCAGGCCGGCCTGCTGCAGGCTGTCTAGAGGCAGACTGACTGACCATCGGCCTTGGTCACGCCCAGCCCCTGTGCTCAGTGTGTCACCGAGCCCAACCTGGACCTGTTCTGATTTAGGGGGAGTGAAATGCCACAAGATCAGTAGTAAGTAGCAGCTGCGGTGTTTGTCTCCTGGGAACCCCACTGCTTAGAAGCCTCCGGAGTGATATTTGTTTAACCAACAGCTTTCAAAGTACACAGAACGACTCACTCCAAAGAAGTTGAAATGCAACCCTTACAAAAATTTGGAGCCGCAGATACTGGCAGGAAAAAGTAATTTATAAAATACTAAAGCCCCTATCCCTAATTAAGGGTCCTCCACCTTACCTAAAGGAGCCAGGACTTGTCATAAATACATGAATTCATCGAAAGGACTCATTACAATAAGGTGACCTCGAAGAAAATCACTCTTCCTCCACAAACACACAGCCCCGGGGATGAGGGGGTTGTCAGTGACTGAAAGGGGCACACTGCTGCTTGATTCTATGCAAGTGGGCAAAAAAACGATCAAAGGCAGGTACATTCCCTGCCCCTGAGTATAAAGGAGTAGGCTGGGAGCTCTCCGCCGCCAACCCTGGCTTTGCCTCAGGCACCGAACTTTCCAATATCAAGATATTAACAGATGGTGGCGAGCACGTGGAGGGCTGTTACTTACATAATCCAGCCACTCCGCCGGCCGCGCCGCGCCCTGCGAGGCGCTGGGCC